ATGGGCACTGCGGCACGGCTGCCCAGTGCAGCGCGTAGCCACGGCACCCACCTCCCTCCCGGCTCCCTCTGCACCCCTAGCGCCCCCTGGCCTCGACCCAGCGCCCGGCCGCTCATCCGACCCCGGAGCACCTGGGTACAGCAGCGCTGACCTCCAGCCCCATTCCCTACTGCCCAGTGCCCATATCACCCCAGAGCCGCTCCCTGCCTGGCCCCAATTCCACTCCCACCCCTGCTGAGGGGTCTCTGTGGGCACAGGGGCATCACAGCCATAAGCAACTGCAGCCTCAGAGCTGCCTAGCTTCCACTCCCTCCTGCTGCCTGTGACTGCCAGTCACTGCTCCTTGTTTGCCAGGTTACATTGGGAGTTCCCCAGGGCAGGGAATGTGGCTTCTGTTGCTGCCAAGTGCCTGGCCCCTTTGTGGGCCTATGCTACAAGCAACAATGGTGGAACAGGAAGGAGAAAGTGAAGAAATCCTCTCCTGCATCCTGCCTTTACCTACATTCCCTGCCTATCCTCTTGCTCCTAGTCACCCATTGATAGAGCAAAAATGATCCGCAGAGATCTGCATCAATATCCACGGATATGGATATCCACAAATATAAAGTGGGTATCTGCAAATCTGCAGATATGGATGTAGATATCCACAGCTAATGTTGGCGGATGCAGATATAAATTGTGTGTGGATATCTTGCACATTTGCAGATAACCACTTTATATCTGTGGATATCCATATCCGTGGATATTGATGCAGATATCTGCGGATCATTTTTGCAGATATGGATACAGATTCACATTTTGTGTCCACACAGGTCTCTACCATTGAGTCAATTCAGCTCAGTCCCTTAAAGCAAAACATGGGAATAATGTGGTGGGGCCAGGAAGGGTGATCCAGTTATTAGGATGGTAGCATTTGATTTCTGGAGACCTGGCTTCATCTCTCTGCTCTGCCACAGATTCCTGTGTGAGGGGGCAAGTCACTGAGGTCCAGATCCTCAGAGTTATTTAGGTGCATAAATCAGTGGATGTTAGGCACTTAGGCTGTGTCTAGACTACATGGCTCCATCAATGGAACCATATAGATTAGGGTTGTAGGCAAAGGGAAATTAAGCGGCGATTTAAATAATCGCCGCTTCATTTAAATTTAAATGGCTGCCGCGCTGAACTGACAAACAGCTGATCAGGATATGATGAGGATATGAATGCAGGTACATGTGAATTGGATGCAGAATTAGAAATAGCTGATCAGCTGTTTGTTGGCTCAGCGCGGCAGCCATTTAAATTTAAATGAAGCAGCGATTATTTAAATTGCTGCTTCATTTCCCTTTGCCCAATAAACAAATCTACATGGCTCTGTCGACAGAGCCATGTAGATTTGTTTATTGGGCAAAGGGAAATGAAGCAGCAATTTAAATAATCGCTGCTTCATTTAAATTTAAATGGCTGCCGCGCTGAGCCAACAAACAGCTGATCAGCTATTTCTAATTCTGCATCCAATTCACATGTACCTGCATTCATATCCTCATCATATCCTGATCAGCTGTTTGTCAGTTCAGCGCGGCAGCCATTTAAATTTAAATGAAGCAGCGATTATTTAAATTGCTGCTTCATTTCCCTTTGCCCAATAAACAAATCTACATGGCTCTGTCGACAGAGCCATGTAGTGTAGACGTACCATTAGATACCTCTGGGGAGTTAAAACAGGTTAACAGCACTTCCCAATTTAGCTTGAGGAATAGCATATTAAAGACTTTGAGATGCTAAGACACTATGCTATAGAGGAGCTATAAATCCATCTAAAATAGTGAATTGGATGCTTTGAAAAATCAGTAAATGGATTTGGAATATGTAGTTATGAAATTAGATGTTCTTGGCTTGAGCAAGCTTCAAATGGTGGCAAGACGAACGTGACAGCTATGAATCTTGAGGCCCCATTAATATGTTTAGTCATAACTGCTCTGAATTTACACAGAACCCTGTAGTGCCTCTAGGTTTAGTGACTCCCAAACTTACAGTTTATTGGATACTATTGCCATAGAACAAGTTTTCTAAGCCTGGTTACCATGATGCCAGGGGAAAGGGAGGTTCCACCCCCATCAAAGTTCAGGTGGACTTTGCCTGGTGAAGAGAGTATGGGACAAGTGCAAGTTTGAGAAGAATAGGGAACATCAGCAGGATAGATGAGTGAATGGTTTGTGGGACCCTGCCCTCTCTGTTACCTGTCAGCCCTCAACCTTCACACTCCTTGCCACAACTTTCTGGATTATCCAGGCTGCCCAGTGCTCCCTGATTCCAAGCACTCCAGCTGTTCAACACCATGCTATCCTTGCCTCACATTGAGCTGACCCTCACTGCTTAAGTTTTGCTGCTTTAACACCCTCTGATCTGTACTTCCCCCACACTCAGATGTAGAATTTTCTAGCATGAAAATGAAGAAATGCATCCACCCCTGGGCTTTATAGACAAATGTATGAATGTCTCACTTCCTAAAGAAATGGATTTCCCTACTAAGTAAAGACTGACCAAACATGGACAGGGAAAACTCCATACTTTAGCTGAAACGTTGGTTGACCTAGCCTTTAAAAGGCAAGAGATTTCCTCTCACCTCATCTACATGGGTGTACTATGTGCATGTGCAGAATGGAAGAATGATGAGGATATGAATGCAGGTACATGTGAATTGGATGCAGAATGAATGAAGGGTGGGATATAGTATGCGTGGAAGAGATTACTGTAGTTTAGAAGTTGTAAAATGTTTTTGAAATGTTAATGGAAAAAATGGCACTATTTGTCAATGAAATTTTTCACAGAAATGTGTTGTTTTTTGACTATCTCTATTGCACTAGCACATGGGTGCAAATTAAATGGGTACCCGTGGAAGGGTACAGTGGTACAACAAGCAAAGAACAAAGACCTTGATCCTACAAGCTGTTTAATATGGACTTCAGAGGGATTCTGTGTGGGTGAAGGAATCCACTCACATGGGGCAGTTTGCAGGTTTGGGGCCAAAGGAAAAGGAAAGAGAAAAGAACCATAGAAAAATTAAAATAAAAACATAAAATAGCAGTAAAAGGGTGAATGGCTTTTCCCCCTGACCCACCACTCTATTGTTTTGCTTTCTAGTTGTGAAAAAAGAGAAAGCATGTAAATAGCTGAGAATAGGGAGTAAGAAGCCTCATCCTTTTGACCCACCTTGAGCTTCCAAAATCTTACATATATCTTCACTGAAAGCCTCAGCCCTATAAAAAGTGTCCTAATTTTTTCATTAAGAAAATGCGGTCACCCTGTTAATATGGGAACAGCAGTCATGAGCTACAGATAATAAAGATTCAATTTATAAATAACCTAATATTCACCAGAACACACACACACACAGAGAGAGAGAGCTCTGACACCTGCCAGTGCTCTGGCTTACTAGAAGTTTCCCTGGAATAATAGCTTGTATCTGTTATTAACTTAAAACATATTTGTCAGAGGTGGGGAAGAGGACTGCATTATATTTCCCCATCAATAGGCCCCAAGATTAATTTAGCTTTAATCATTGGGGTTATTTAAGATTTCCAGAATTAGTTAAAATCAAGCTGACATTAACTGTAGCAAACTATTGTGCTACATATCCCTCTCCTGTCTATTAAAAGAGTCTGTAGGTTCCATTTTAAATATATTGCTAGCAGTATGAATCTGTTTGAGATAGTAATTTGTAACTCCTTTAGATTTGTATCACTTTGATTTATCCTGCTATAGTTGTAAAACAGATAGGGCTTGTCCAGAAGCCGTATCCCAGAACAGAGTGGAGTGGGATTGGGGTTTGGGGTAATTGGATTAACTTTGCCTTTGTAAGTGCCCAACAGTGTCCTTTGCTCCACATGCAGAGAGCTTTTTCCACAGATGAATCCTGTTTTCCAGCAATGTCGTGTGTATAGTGAGGGCATAAAGATGTGCATGAGGGGAAGGAGTGAACAGTGTGTATGTTGGGGATCATGCCAAGTGGGGTACATATTGTCCCCCTACTGGGCCTGTGAAGATCAGGGTAGAAGCACACTTGGGGATGTATTATCTTTCCACAGCCCTCTTTAACAGTTCCAGGAGCAATTGCAGGCTGGGTAGCAGATTCAACGAAGTTGCCCCATCAGGGACTAGAGAGGTAAGGATCAATTCCAAACAATTCTGAAATGTCCGTTAATCCCCATGGAACAAGGTTTACAGGGATGTTGAAATAGGGCGCCCATTATTTCAAAAGATATTTCTAAATAATGGGTCCGCTGTCAAGA